CAAGCTCTAGTTTAGATTAAGAATTACATCTCTAGGTGTTCTTATCTGGCTACATTATGATGGACAATAAGGTGTTTGATAAAGGTAAATTTTGCATTGCATTACATTATATTCATTAAATTCCTGAAGATTTATGACTAGTTATCTTTCCTTCGTATTACTAGTAGTCAACCTTTGCATTAGTAGGATTTCCAGCTCACTATTTCCAGCTGGATCCTACCCGTATGTTTTGTCATATTTGTGGGAGTAAATATTTTCGTCTCCAATCACAGCACGCCACGTGGAAAAGAAGATTGTCTCTTTTAATTAATTAATAATTGAACCAGTTTATCTGGCCAATTAATTAATTGGGATAAATATCTTTATTAATATGATATTATCTTTATTTAATAAGATAATATCATTAATTCAGATATTATCCTAATAAAGAGAAGATAATATCATTAATTTAGATATTATATCTAAGTCCGACTTAATCTCTATGAATTTGGATAGACAATAAACTCAGCATATTCTCTATGAAACCCTAGCCCTGAGGCTCCTATAAAAAGACGACCTCATTCATCATTCAATGTACATCTAAACCTATTCCTAATACCCGAGAAAAATACTCGAAGCTCTCTCTCCCTCTCCACTCTCCACTCTCCATATTTTCTCCACAAAGCTCTGGCCACCACACACGGCTCCGGTCACCCGGTTCACACCATACATAGACTCTGTACCCTTTGCTTAGCTATTGTTTTCCTACAAGCACTCGAACTAACTTAGGCATCGGAGGTCCTTTGGTCAACACCCCCCGGGTGTGGTCTATTTACTCCAATTTTTTATACAGGAATCGAGGAAGAGAGAGAAGGAAGATCGAAGGTTGAAGGATCTAGAAACGAATATTCTCCCGCGAGATTATTTGCATAAACAATATTCTGTGAAATTCTTTGTTGCCTTGTACGATTCTAACCTAGGAATTTTGGTGTAAAAGAAAAACTTCAAGTTCCAAAGAAAAGGGAAGGTCATCATGGTCCACCGACCGTTTAATTCCAACTTGGGCCTGGCTTCTTCAAGTTTCAACGCAAGGCTGCTTTAGGTTCCTTTTCATTTTTTATTTTTTTTGCCTCGCCCAAAACACATCGTTTTCACCATGATTTAAAAAAAGAAAAAAAAAAAAGGATGCACAGCGTAATAGCACATCAAAGAAGAGGAAACAAAAGGTCATTCAGGTATTTATTCAAATAGTTGGTGTGCATCTCCAAGGCAGAGCAGAGGGGCAACTTTTGGCGACTCCAAACCTTTTTCCGATGAGGGGAGGTCTGCACCTACTTACACCTTTGTGGGTCCACCATTGTATTCATATATATGTGGGCTTGATAAGTTGGCCAAACTAGTGTGTCTGGTCCTTCGCACTCAATTTCAATCCCCTACCATGTACATTAGAAAGTACAGTGTTTTTCTTCTAATTTTTTAATAAGTGAATAGACAACAATACTCCAGCTCTAACCTGTTAAAGTTACTCCACTTTTAATTTTATAATTCGATCGGTTCAATTTTTAAGTTCTTATTCAAAGATCATTTCATACATAATTTCATCCAAATTAAAACACTTTTACGTACTTGATTATTGTATCGTGAACATTTCATTGTTTATTTAAAATGGTGTGTTCCTCTATTTATTTGATCCATTAGATAACTAACGAAAGCATGTTGTTGAATACTAACATGCATATTATTGCACATGGATACCATATTAGAACATGAACACCCAACTTAAAACTGATTTGCAATAAATTAAAAGGCCTATAATCTTTGAAGCGCTAATGTAAAGCTTCCCTCCTCTCCAACTCATATCCATAATCACTTACAAGTCGTCCCACCCAGCTAAGTACGTAAAAGAAAAGAGTCATTAATTGGAGTTTAACCAACAACACATTTGTTACCCAACAATCTGCTTTAGTTTGGTGACCCGTAGAAAAAAGGCACACCCGCGATTATCTTTAGATGAGTTTCTCTAGCTAGGTCATTCCCTTCCTCTAGCTCTCTCTCTCTTTGAATGGGTTTCAAAAGCAAATACTATCATTTTATTGTTCACTACTGTACTCCTCATCGTTTTATCAATAGATCTTTTTGCATCATGCCCTTCACCATTCTTCTTCAAAATTACCATGGCAAACATTAATCTAGACCATAGGGGTAACCTTCTTCATTCTGCAACACTTGGAAAGTGTGTGGGTTGAAGTAAATAAAAACATGTGCCTTTCTAGTTATAAAGTGATGGTTAAACTTGAATTTCTTAATTTTTTTTATTTTTTTTTTTTTTTTGTCAAAACGCTGGAGAATGATATTAATAACGAAGGTGAAGGTTTACATCAAAGGTAAGAAAATTAAACAACCAATCAGTTCCTAAATGATCCCAAACATAATTACCCCCCTGTTTAGAGACAAAACCCGCAACAGAGTGGGCAGCCCGGTTACAGGATCTAGGAGCAAACACAAAGGAAACCCGAGAAAGAGAAACCACCAACTGCCTGATATCAAAGACAATCCCCTCTAGGTCTGAGTCCACTGAAACCCGACCATTAAGCATAAAGATACCCCTTTGAGAATCCGACTCCACAACAATGTCTGTAAGATGAAAATTAGCACACTCACTGAGCGCATGGCGAATAGCTAGAAGTTCCATCATGAGAGCAGAGGAACCATGAAGATCTCCCTGTCCACCCGCACATAGCAATAAACCGAAGGAATCCCGGATGACCCAGCCAACACCCCCACCCATCCGCTGAGCAGACCATGCGGTTCTTAATTGAGAGCCAAAGGAGTTGAACTGTGGGGGATAGTTCAAAAGATGATGTGGAATATATTTCTCAAGCCAATGACGTAATTACATGCCGACAAGACTCAAAGTGGTCAGACGAAATTACCCTGGCACAACGCCAGAATGAGATCCGCCCCCCATCATACATTGATTAGGTGAGGACGACACCGTTTCACTTGAGAGGAAGTCACTTCTTCTGACTTGAGGAGACGTTAGACCACAGATAAGGCCCAAACGTGCGTCCCAACGGCTCATAAGGAAAGACCCAACAAGGTCGTTTTTCTTATTGTTTTTGTTTGTTGTCGTTTTCTCTTCCTCTTTTTTTTGGACAAAGTCGTTTTTCCTTCTTCTGTTTCTTCTGTTTTGGTGTTGTGATTTTCATTTCCGGGCTGTCTCGTCTTTCAATAAGAACGACAAAAGTCTTTGTGCTAAAATTTGCCCACCACATTATATTCTAATCACAAAGGTCTCGACGAGTTTAGGACTAATCGTACCCTGAAAAAAGGGAAAGTGAAGAAGAAATTTCCCTTTCATTTCCATGTGCATGCAGCAGTGCACATAAGACTAGAAAACAAAGAAAATGACGGAAGAAAGGGATGCCATTTAATTTAGTGATACAGTTCTTCTTTGGTCTATACAATTGACCTCATGAATAAACCTCTCATCAGTTTTCTCCATCCTATTGATATTGATCATCATCACCCTCTACTTGTGCTCAGGCATCCTGCTAAAACTCCCCTGTTGATGGGAATTGCTTGGCAAGTTCATTTCTTTGAGAGTATCACTCAGGCAATATCATTCAGATCAATTCTTATCATTCAGATCAATAAGAAAAAACAAAGTATGAATGGTGCAGATTTCCAACTTATTCACCCAAACCCTAAATTTGAGTTTTTAATTAGTTTGGTTGACTTGATAGACAAAAACAAGCTTCATGCTGAAGAGTATACAAATCAAATAATCACTTTTTCTTTTTTCCATAATTTATAATTTTATATTGGAGAAATTTTTTGAGGGCAAGCTAAGTGGAACTACTAGAATTTTGGTCCAATATTTCCTAATTTTTTTCTCACGCAACTATTAAACTAGACTAGATAGACTTGAGAATTGATATGGTGATTTGCCTTCCAACGCACATCAGACTCTTACTCACTATTGTCTTGTAGTTGTTGACTCGGCTTGACTTGACTTGAGATGGTTGGTAACTATGCCTTTCAGTGTCCACTCAACCTTTTAAATTTGCCTTTCATCCAAGGCGGGGCACAAGCTACAATTATCTTCTTACAAATATGGACCTTGACTTAACTGAAACATATGTCTACCAACCCAATATTATTATTGTACGTATATATTTATTGGTACTTATATAGTAAAACATAAATCTTCCACCAATCACATATTAAAAATAAGATAAATTAATATTACATGCGGTGTTAAGATTACTCTAAAAAATTTCTCATATTATAATTTATAGTGATGATTACGAAATTTTTAAGTAGGAAGAGTATATTTAGTGTTGAATCTGATCGCTAAAGTTTCGGAGCAAGGAGTTCAAAGTGTCCTTCATTTTGTATTCAGCTTCACCTCTATTAATGAGATGGCGCACAAGTTGGTTTGTAAAGATGATCTCCCTAGCCATCAAGGTAAAACTACATGTATTATTTGTGACTTTTAGCTAACTCTTTATGAATAGGGATGGAAACAGATTCCCAATGGGGAATATGGTCCCCAATGTTTGTGTGGATGGATAATCCTTGACGGGGACTAGGCAGATGATGAGGATGATAAATTTTTGCAAGGATAGGATGTGGGAGGAAAATCCGTCCGGTTGCCATCTTCAATTGACTTGACTTAGTAATTGATCGGCATAAAGAGAGATAAAATCTACAGTTCCTAGCTTATTCATTGAATGTTATGCTAAAGAATATCGAAATCAAATGAGCAAAATCATCCTGGAGGATATGAGCTTTTCCATTGATTGGATACCATTCTCAGTTAGGCTTTAGTTTAAACGTCTATGTCTGATTATAATAAATAAATTATTAGTTAGTTGATAAGAAAATGTTTAAGTTTGACAAGATTTTGCATAAGGCTGCAATCTATGAGATGCAGAAAAGAAAAGAAACAAAGTTAATTGGCTTTCTGTAAATCTTTTGATTTAAAATACTCTGCAGAAATGTTTGGAGAAGTCCCAATCAAGTTCTTACAAACAAGACAAGTAACAAATCATTTGCCAAGGAAAATTCCCACTACATAATTCTTTACAAAAAAGACACAAATCTTTATAATGGAGTTGAGCAATATTAATCCAATATATACTTGAAAACTTCTGCAGATATATTATTGCTTCCATGGCAACGGTTCACTGTTCAAGTCAAGTGAAGCATGGATGTCGCCTCAGAGCTAAAAGTAAACAAACACCCGTAAGTTTCGAAAATATAGTTAATTATAAAAACCAAATTAAACAAAAAGAAGAGTTCGAAGAGTTCACGTACTTACATCTTATCAATTAAGCATATCCTTGAGTTGCCGCTTGATCAAAGCTACTCTCACATAAAGCCAATCATTTAAACCATTCAGGAACTTGAAGTATTCGTATCGCCATGACCTCTTGAATATCAAAGTGAAGCAAACTCCCCAAAATCCTGCAGCAAACCCAAGCGCCATACTGATGTAAAATCCCAGTGTTATAAGCTCATCTGTATCCTCTGTATTGCTATACTCAGAGGGATCAGCACACATCTTTAGAAGTGGAGCTCCACAGAGTTGAGGATTTTCAGCATAAACAGAGCGATCAAAGCTTTGGAGCTGAGTCCCGATTGGAATTTGGCCCGACAAGTTGTTATATGACAAGTCCAAGACAGCGAGACGATCTATTCGAGCAAGGCTCGTTGGAATTCTTCCACTTATCCGGTTTCTCGATAAATCAAGAGAATCCAGTGACTGCAATTTTCCGATCTCTGGAGTTATTTGACCTGTTAACTGGTTTCTCGAAAGGTTTAAAGAAACCAATTCCACAAGATGAGTGATTTCACTTGGAATCTCCCCTGTTAATCTATTGCTTGACAGATCAATTCTTTTCACTAGCCCCAAAATACTTTTGTATGTGGACATTCTTCCTTTCCATATGAAAGTTGCATCATCCTCATAACTATTACCAGGAAATACCATCTTATCATTTTCTTTCCTATAATAATGTGTGCTGGTTAGACTTGAATTTCCTTTCTGAGACAGAGCAATCAAATTGTTGAGGCATTTGGGTATGCTTCCAGAGATGTTGTTCATAGAGAAATCCAAAATTTGAATGTGTACTAGATGACATAATTGTGGGGGCATGCTTCCATTGAAGTTATTAAAGAAAAGCATCAGGATAACCAAATTCTTGAAGCTGACCCCTAACCATGTAGGTATTGGTCCTGATAATTTATTATTTCCTAGATCAATAACTTCTAAACTTGTGTAATTCTTCAAGGATGATGGCAATTCTCCAGCAAAACTGTTGTTTCTTAATTTCAATGTTTCGATTTTAAACAAAGAGCCCATTGTCATTGGAATTTTTCCAGAAAAAGCATTGTTACTCAAATCAAGCATGACTAGATTCTCCAACTTGTTCCAACAATCAGGAAGTTCTCCAGAAACACTGTTGCTTGAGAGATTTAGAAACGTTAAACTCGTTGCACTTGCACACAAGAAAGAAAGAGATCCTGAAATGTTATTATTGGAGAGATCCAAATATGAGGCTTGTAATAGAGTTGATGGAATTGGACCTTGTATTTGGTTCGAACTCAAATATACTTCTGGGAAGATTGCAAAATTCACGGTCGTCAAATTTGCAAAAATTCCTCTGATTTGGTTGTTGGAGAGATTAATAAATATCGAGTTACAGAACATACTCCAGAACCAACTTGGAAGGATATCAGAAATCTCAGCATCCGAAATATCAAGGGCCAAACAATCATTCTGAGTTTGAAGCCATTTTGGGAAATGTGGACCCATCTTGCAAGATGACAAAAATATGGTATCCAATTGGAAAGGAGGAACCCAATCAGCAGGGAAGTTTAAAACAAGTGAGTTAGAGGATAAATCCAAAGAACTTAATTTGTGGAGATGGGAGAAATGGGTTTCTGATACCACCCCTTCCAAAGAGTTCATGCCAAAATCGATGTGTTCCAGTTGAGACATTTGCCCAATACTTTCAGGTATTCTTCCGGTCAATTGATTATTATTCAGAGACAAGATTTGCAAAGATGAAAGAGTTGTAAGATTAGTTAATGAGCCAGCAAGATCATTGTGAGAGAGATCCAAAGTCTCTAATGAATTTTGAGCACATGTGGGCAAAAGCTGAACAAACTTGGATAATTGTCCACTCAGACGATTTCCTGGAATCTCTAGGAATTGCAAACTACATAGCCTAGCAAACGAATTCGGGTTTCCTCCTTCAATCTGGTTATCAGAGAGAACCAGATTTACAAGAGAGCTCATGTTTCCAATGACATCGGGAATTAAACCGGTTAGATTGTTTTCAGAGAGGTTAAGGTCAACAAGGCTTGCAGTAGTGTAGTTGGACAACCAAAGAAAAATTGAAGAAGTGAGATGGTTGTCTCTGAGATTAAGATGTGTAAGAGATGTGGAAGAATTTATGTTAGAAAAAGGAGTGGAATGAATTCTAGGTGGAGGAGGAGGAAGACTGCAGTCCCTTAGATCCAAGTGTCTTAGTTTAGGGAGCTTATTAACTGCTTCTAGCCAATCGAAAATATTACTGAGATTGACGTGCCATAGGTCCAAATTGGTTAGAGAAGAAAGACCAGGGAGCCAATTAAGATTTTCTACATTAAACTGATTACCGCCGAGGTGGAGATATTGCAATTGCGTGAGGTTTCCAATCTGACTTGGAATTTGACCACCAAAATTACAGGAAGAGAGATCTAGATACCTTAGATTAGTTAGAGAACCAACGGAATCTGGAATTTGGCTCCCATTGAAATCAATATATCCAAGGTCTAAATGTTGTAAATGTTGCAACTCAATCAATTTAGGACTAATCATCTTACCTTTTGAAAGATAATCTTCAAGATCAAGTTGAATAACATGGCCAGTTTGGTTGTTACAAGAGACTCCAATCCATCTGCAACAATCTTGTTTATGGGATTCCGAACTCCATGAAGAGAGGCTGTTGTACTCATCCACCAGGCCACGTTTGAATGCAAGGAGTGCTTGCCTTTCCCTCTCTAGGCAAGTCCCGGTCGCATTAGCATCGTTGTCGCTGCGGCCAACTTCTCCTCCTTTGACATTTTGTAGCAAAAGTAGCGCAAATGCAAGAAAGAGTTTGAAGCACCTCCCGTGACCCTGCATATATTAATATATTCAAATGCAAGATCAACTCGATCCAATGAAGAGGCACAACTGTTTAGGGTTTATGTAATGTCAAAGATGGAGCACAAGCATATGCAAACACTGCAAGTATATTGATATATGGTTTGTCTCTGTGCTTCTCCATATACGAGCTTGCATAAAATATATATATAGGGGTAAAAAAGAAAGTCTTTAATGACTTGAACTGACTTGATTTGTATTCCAGAATGCAGGTCTTGACTGGACTTAAATTGACTTGAGATGGTAATTAACGTGCCTCCCATGTATACTCAATTATTTAATTTGCTTTCCTATCGGTGGAACACGGCAACTAGTGTAGTAGACCAATCCTTGAACAATTCTCTTATCGTATACACTTCTAAAAATTCTACATAATCATATATATATATATATACCTCGAATACAACTTACAGAAATTCTCAAACTCTCATAGTTTAGCATAAAAGTTAGTTGATTCTGATTCATCGGGTTGGTAGAACTCAATGATCATATATAATATTTGTGGAAACTTGTTCTACAAAATTCTCAATGCACTGTGGAAACTTGTTCTACAAAATGTCCATCAACGACAAGATCTTAGAGTATTTTCGTACGACAATGTTCATACAAGATATCTGCTATACAATTTATAATTAATGTTATGGAAATCACGTGTGAATCATAATGAGACTAGAAGGCTAGGGAGAACTAGGTTAATTTCTTTATTCATTGCACGGTTTTGGTCATTTTTTTTATGTGAAGGGTTTTGGTCCTTGTTCCCCCATTATATATATAGAGCTTTTATAGAGGGGTTCCTCAAATAAGTTTATTTGAGTGACATCCTTGTAGGGGCCCCTCCGAATTGTATTTCACTAATCCAAACCATCTATTTTGTAGATATTCATTCAAAGATCATCCCTACAAAAAATCACTTGAATCCAATATCATTTGACCACTCAATTACATTATTGAAATTTAAACACTTTCTTGAAGTACCGTGTTCATTGATTTTGTCGGTCCCAATTAGATGCCTTATAGATTTTCAATTTGCATAATTTTTTGTAAAGATGACCTCTGAATAAAGATGTGAAAATTGGTTGATTTGGATCGTAGAATTTATTTTTGTAAAGTACCCTAAAAGGTGTCCTTCAAATAAAATTATTTGAGGGATCTCTCAATAGAAGAGGACTATATATATTTATATATTTTTGTTATTCCTTAATAATAATATATATACATAGGGGGATGAGAGGGGGCAGTCCGAAGTGTAGGTCTTCTCTCCTAACTTTTGTGAGGATAAGTGTGTATTTAATTTAAAAAGAAAAAGAAAGAAGCTAGACTCTTATTCATATTGGTCTATGGAAAGATAAAAATAGAAGAAAAATTTGTCAAATGTGGACAATTAGACAAGTAATGTACTTAATTATTATTATCAAATGTGAATTCGTCTTTTCCAGTTCGTCTCAAACACGCTACAAAGAAAAATAGACTTACAAGTCAAAATAAGAAGAGAGCCACATATGGTTCTTTGGTGGACTGCAAAGCGATCCCTGCGCTTTTGCCTAATAGTTCCATTATGCATATCTCTAGAATGGCCAACAAAGTGGCCCATAGACTAGCACAACTATCTTTAACTCTGACCTCAGCATCCACTTGGTCATGGGAACCTCCTGTGATCATTACTGATGCTTTGGTGGAAGATTCTCTGTACTGAGTCTTTTTCTATCAACGTTATCGTTTCGTTTCAAAAAAAAGAAGAGAGCCACATATTTATACAAGAAACAAGACCACATCAATGATCTGGTTCTGCTAGTAATTGAATGAATCATGCATGGAATTATAAATTTGGAAGACAGAATATTGATTGAATTATATATGCATAAAGTTAATTTGGTAAAAGCTAGAATTCAATTCAATAAAGGCAGCCTTTGTTTTCCTTCTGGTCTGAAAATGAATTTCAATGAAGTGGGGAACTTAATTAGGTAAGACTTGTGGAAATTTGGTTTTGGAAGCATGAATTAATGTGCGAGTGGCTCCACAAAAGACTTTACCTTCTCAGATGTTGCACATCTTGAGAATCCCCAGTTCCACACGAAAATCAGTCATAGTTTTAACCTAATTGGGGTTTAATAATAGGCCTGACCGTAGATCATGGGAAATTATTGGTTGACTTGACTTAACGTGCCTTCCGGTGTCCACTATCATGAACCATAATTTAGTTTAAAATAAACAAAAGTTATTTTAAGAGCTCTTTATAAAATTTGAACTCCGATCATACTTCCTAGTTAGGGAGTCATAAATACTATAGTTATTTTTTTAATTCAACATGATTGTTCCATCTCTATTAAAAATAGAGTGCTGCTATTTTCACCTCTTGTCTTATTTCCCCACCCACCTTATGTTCTAAAATAATTTTACCAAAATCACATTTTTCAAAAGTGACTTATCTTTTTGAAGTGGGATGTTGCTGGTATGCTTAACAAGAGCATGTATTCATTTTTGGCACATCCTTTCAACTTGAGATCGGATTCTTTCCTATTTAAATGATTTTATATCCTTGTAACCTGTTTGACAAATTCACACAGACAAAAGACCAAAACAGATGATACATCTGCTACTGCTAGAAATTAAGTTGGCCACTAATTTCCAAGATGCAAGTGACGAGAAATTGACTTGCGACTTAAGAAATTTACTAAATTTTGAAAGCTACTGCTAGAAATTAAGTTGGCCACTAATTTCCAAGATGCAAGTGGCGAGAAATTGACTTGAGACTTGAGTAATTGACTAAATTTTGAAAGTCTTAATCATATAATCGCATTTTTCTTCTATTTTTATTTTTCAATAAATGAAGTTCATTGATTTTGGAATTAATAGACAACAAGACTTGTGGAAATTTCAGGCTTATGGGCTAGGCTTAGGGTCTCTTGCATAACTTTTGTGAATAGAACTTTAATGGTCGGGTGAGCCCTACGTTAATGCATTCACATTGTTGGTCTGGTAAGTGTACTTTGAATTGAATTTCATTCACATTACATGAATGAGATCGATGTATATATTTATGGCTTTTGATTGGTTGATTAAAATAACACTATAGCTGGAATTAATACATCAATGGGAGAAGTCCGAATCAATTGTTCTTACGAGTAATTAAAAATAATACAAATCATATTTATTCCTACTAAGCGCTCCAAATTAACTCATAATCTTCTGTATATATTTGTACATATCTGCAATCTTCAAGACTTCAATTGAAAGTAAACAAATTAAGTTTAGAGAAAAAAATATATGCAATCTAAAAATAATTAGGAATTCTTAGATATAGGTTCGATAGTGTACATTGGATGCAGTCCTCATTCTTCCTCTTATCAATTGAGGTCCACCAAGCCAACTGTGCGCGTAGTTAAGAAAACCTTGCAACCACCATATTTGAGATATTACAACATGCCATTGAATGGAAATGGCAAGTCTTTGCAAATACCACCCACTAAACTTTCGTTTCCACCTAAATGAAACTTTTGGCATTCAATTTATGCTGATTTCACTCCGAATGGATTCAAAAAAAATTTTAATTAATTTTTCTTTTATTGCAGCATACATATTGTATGGAAACTATATTAAAGCAATTGCGGGATATGGTTATTAGAGCATCCACAATGATGCTCTCTATTTCTTAGCTAAAATTTAGCTAAAAATATAAGAAAGCTATTTTAGGAGCTCTCTAAAAATTTCAACTCCAACCATACTCCCTAATTTGGAGAATCATAAATGCCATAACTCTTTTTTGATTGGTCCATCTCTATTATAAAAAAAAAAGTTAGCATTAAATAAAAGTTTGAAATACTCATTAAATAAAGAAGCATTAAATTATAGAGAGTCACTAGGAGTCTTTTCTCTATCCTCAGATTTAGGAGCTCCTAGAGGACTCCATATTTAAAGAGGCGGATAAGAAGCATGGTTGGAGTTGCATTTTTATAATTCCTCCCTAAAATTTGTCTAAGGAAGTGGTTTAGGAAGCCCATTGTGAATGCTCTTATGGTACTAATAAATGTGGTTGTCTTTCGTTGTGCTTATGGTTTTGGTTCTTATCTTTCACATGGTGCAGCCCACCACAAAGATGCATGCCTCACATCTGCTCTCATCCTGACAAGTATTGAAATTAGGGGTGGGCATCGGGACCGGAAAACCGGAATATCAAACCGGATGGGTGAAAAAAAACTGGGAAAAAATCAGTTGACCAAAAAAGTCAACAAATCGGATCGGAATCCAATACTATATTTTAAATTTTATAATTAATATTTTTCCAAATTCAACTTCAAAAAATTTCTCATTGTATGAATTGGGTCATTTGTTAATTTTTAAGCCAAAAAAATAACTTATTTATTATAATCTTTATTTTAAAAAAAATATATATATATTTTTTTTGCCAAAAAAGTCAACAAATCAGACCGGAATTGGACCTAACCAGTTCCAATTTCGGTTTTACACCACACCGAACCGGACCGGTTGTATTTTTTTATTTTATTACAAAATTTTAAAATCCAATGCTATATTTTAAATTTTATAATTAATATTTTTCCAAATTCAACTTCAAAAAATTTCTCATTGTATGAATTGGGTCATTTGTTAATTTTTAAGCCAAAAAAATAACTTATTTATTATAATCTTTATTTTTTAAAAATAAAAAAATATTTTTTTAAAAAAATTAATAAATTAATAATCCAGTTCAAAACCGAAACCGGTTAGAACCAAACCAGCCAGTTCTTAAAAAAAATTTGCTTAAACCGAACTAAACCGAACTAGTTAAATAGTACTGGTTTCGGTTCCAGTTTGAGGTGAGAACCGGACTGTGCCCACCCCTAATCGAAATCAGAATAGAAAATCCCATGTACATGTTGAGAAAATTAGAGTACACAACTCAAATATAGACTTGTTGGAGGCAAAATAAGTAAACAAATTACTTGTATTAGACTCATAAAATATTACAACAAGACAACTCTCAA